GCATGAATGCGCGGGTCGATGGTCAAATATCTGGATTAAGAGGTTGCTTTTCTTTGTCACAGCATGAAAGAAACGCGAAAGAATGGACTGTGATTTGAGTTTTTTAAGCAGAAGTTGAGTTCAATAATTTGTACGGACCTCGAAGGATGTTGTAAAAATGTAAATGGCCCTTGAGAGGAAAAAGGTTCCCCACCCCTGCATTAGATACACACAGGAGGCAGGACAAGGACTAATGCTGCACTCATGTGAGAACAAAGGCTATACCAATTGCTGTTGGAAATTAGTTACAAATTGATGACACGATGCCATGATTTAAAGCTCTCTATCAGCTTTTTTCATACTTTAATTATGACATCAGAATTAGAGAGGACATAATTATGTTCATTTTCAGGTTCATATTTGTATTTTGTGCCTCTACTGTGACATGTTTACACGCTTTACAAGTCCCCTATTATTCTGTTTTTCATCAATATATAGGTCTCAGATATATACAAAACATGTCTCTGAAGTGTTTGCTCCAAACACGGTGATCATTCTCATTTACCTCTTTACACAGAGGGGACACATGTTGATTTATACAAGACATGAACAAGTGGATTTTGCTTAATAGGTGACCTTTAAATACAGAATCATATCAAATCAGTAAACGTTTCAAAGTGGAAGCAGTTCATCTGTTCTTATCTCTGGATATAAGCGTGCAAATCTGTAAAAAACTTTAAATAATCAAGCACTGTTTCCTTACTTCCGTCGAAGCTTCCGTTCCCGAGCAAGACGGAGAAGGTAGTGGCTTCAGTGCTCCTGATGTTGGAGGCGTTCACGTTGGGGACAGTGAACTCACACTTGATCATATTTCCTTTCACCATGCCACGGATTTCTTCCACTCTCTAGAAAAAGATAGATAATGTAATAACTGTTTCCAAGGCTGTGTGCTGAAGCCAAGGATAAAATCTGCTTCACTGAGCAACTCGAATCTAACAGCAGCTGCCTCTCAAAACCAGACTTTTCAGATCAGTTTTCACATGTACAAATCTAATGTACAATCTAATTTTGGCATTTGATTGCAAACAGGTGGGTGACAAAAAAATCAAACGATCTCTCTAGATTAAGAAACTATCATTATTCTAAATTAAATGTGTGACAGTTGAATGAATGGACAATAGTTGAGTATCTGAGCAATATGTGCATTCATTAAATCACTATCATTTTCTCATATTAAGATTAAATTGTAAGCAGTAGAAAAAAAGATATGAAGGTATTTCAATTTCTGGTCCTCCATTGTTTCATATCACATAAATAAGTACATTTCCCTAAGTGTGAATACATGAATATGCCAACATCTCTCTGTATGAGTACATTTGAAATCTCACCGTCTCAGTTGGAGTGAGCATATCGTCAGTGTTGTTCCTCCGCATTGTCCGGAAGAAGAACGTCCCGTTTTCCGAGCTGTTCTGAGCGCAGATGAAAAGCATGCTGGTCCCCTGCGGAAAGAAATATTGGTGAAAATATGAGATGGCTGTGTGTGTGTGTAAAAAAAAAAACGTTTAAATACAAGAAAAATACTTAAATAAATTGTGAAATTATTTTGTCATAGTCGTTGGAGAAAACGTGATAAAAATAACGAGAACAAAATGGGTGTTGTTTTAAAAAACAAGTGTATGAGGCATCAAGAGTGTACCAATTATATTTGGAAAAGACAGAAAGGCAGCAGCACAATACACAAACACAAGAAGGTCATTATAAAGCAGGAAAGTATATTATTAAACTTATTTTTAGCACAATTGATGACAGTCTGACGTTTTTTAAATGTTTTCCTTCAGTTTAAATCTTAGTTTAAATATATGAAATGTTATATTTGGCATCTGGGTAATGTTGCGTGACACACAAGAGGAAACGTTGGCGCGCGATTACATAACACAGGCATCATTGTAATATCAGGTAATAAAACACCGGTTTATTACTTCTCTATGGAAACAAAGCAGCCGTATGGTGTTCCTCAAACAAATGTGGGCAAATATGATGTTATTGTCCTATTTCAGGGGCTGGATCCTCTAAATCCTACGTCTTTAAACACAACACACATGAAACAGACAGAGAGAGACACTGAATCCTCTTTGGCTCAAAGCCTGCCGGACACACAATGATGTTTTCTCTACGCTCTTCAGTATTTTACAATGGAAACAATGTCCTTATCAACTGAATAAATATTTGATCATGTCAATACATATCACATGACTTTGTATTCATGTAGTCATGAGATCCTGGTGACTTGTGTACACTTTACACAAGTCAAGATAGTCAGTTTGCTTTGCTGGGAGCTTAGGCATCACAATAGGGCGTAACATAAAGATATATAAGAATAACTCGTAAATCCTGTCTCCCACTGCTGATTCATTTCTAAAACAAAGTGGGATTACAAGCAGGATAACAATGTTGATTTATGATTTTAACTTTTTTATTCAGTAGGTGAATCCATGATGTCTCAAACCAGTGTGTGAACCTCACTGTTTCTATTTAACTGTAATGATTTTAGCTTTAAACTGCAGTATGTGGTCACTGTTGCTCTATAGTCTGAATATGCTAAATGAACGGCAGGTTATATTTTTTTAAGAAATCTCTGAGCAGAGGACACATTATTTAAATATCTTGGTTTCATATTGTCTCATTGTTCTGTTATCTTACGTAATACACTTACGTAAAAGCCATTTATATCTTGTACTTATTTGCATAGCATTTGATTTGAAGTAATCCAAAATAAACGGCCTTCAAACACGTCATCACTGCACACCTCAGAACACATTTAAGTAATCCTCCCAGCCCTGTTGAGGTTCTTGCTGCTTAAAATGGACATAAGACATAATTTATGAGTCAAATTTAGCAAAAAGGTGCTTGAAATTGGACACACTGGTTTATTATAGAAATTTTTGTTTTAGCTGACTGGTTTTCTATTTATTTACTTGTTTCTTTTTGTTTGTCTGTTTTCTTTTGTCTGTATGTCTGTTTGTTTTCTGTCTGTGTGGGATTTTGTTTGCCCTGATGTTACGCAGTGTTTACAGTAAAACACCGGTTTATTACTTCTCCATGGAAACAAAGCAGCCGTATGGTGTTCCTCAAACAAATGTAGGCAACTATTATGTTATTATATGTCCTATTTCAGGGGCTGGATCCTCTAAAGCCGATGTCTTTAAACACAACAAACATGAAATAGACAGAGAGACACTGAATCCTCTTTGGCACAAAGCCTGCCGGACACATAATGATGTTTTCTTTACTTGTTTCTTTTTGTTTGTCTCTTTTTGTTTGTCTGTTTGTCTTCTGTCTGTGTGCGATTTTGTTTGCCCTGATGTTACGCAGTATTTACATTGTTACTCTACCTATTTTTCTATAAGTGAAGATTTGTTTACCTACTTTTGATACATGCTCTGATAGAATAACTGTATGTATATATAAAAAATGGCCACACTGCATGATTGTGTGTGTGTGTTACCTCTGAGGCGTTGGCAGTGAGTCCCATAGCGATGTATCCTGCAGACTCTCCGCTCAGCTCGACGGAGAGGTCAACCCCGTTGGGAGGCATTGGGACGGGGGAGACCGCGGAGACAAACAGACAGGAAGAGTTTCCAGAGGGGTCGCAGTTCTTTGGAGTCTCCACACACAGCTTGGAGAATCCACAGCCATCTCGAGTGATGTTCACCTGTTAGACACACACAGAAACATCAACACAGGCTTTAAAAGTCACCTATTATACTCTTTTTCATCAATATAGCTCTCAGTTATTTATAAAACATGTCTCTGAAGTGTTTGGCTCCAAACACCAAACAGATCATTGTAGCATCCCATAATCCCCTCTGTTTCAGCCCTGTTTCAAAATTGCTGATTCTCTGTCTGTTACTTTAGATGAAAATAAGGAGCCCCTCCCCACGCCCCTCTGAGAGCTATTTGGTTAAAAAGAACACAATGGTGCTCTAGGAGGAGATTCAGGTCATAAGGAGAGGGGGGGGGGGNTGGTGGATTGGCTAATGGTTACACAAGCCAAACATCGTTATGACATCATAAAGTGGCCAAAATCTGATCAGCTCATTTTCAGACAGGTTTTTATATAAATGGATCAGGACAAAAAGAGAGAGAATCTTTGTTCCTGATACTTTCAGAATCTCTTTACACAGAGGGGACACATGTTGATGTAGAAGAGACATGAAGAAGAGGGGACACATGTTGATGTAGAAGAGACATGAAGAAGTGGATTTTGCATAATAGGTGATCTTTAAAGTTCAAAAAGTTCTCAAAAGTTCTGCCTGTGCTGCAGCACCTCTTTTCACCCTCTGTCTGAAACCAGAGCCCAGTCTACTCTGATTGGTTAGCTGGCCGGCTCTGTTGTGATTGTTCAGA